CCAACACCAGTAGGACTCCTGAACATGTGTTTGTACTGCTGGTCGTCGGGGACACATAAGTATAAGATTGCATTGCGAGGGAGGTCTCCACTTGGATTGGAAGCTGGGGTCAAGAGACACGAGTAGTCAGAGTGCATTCACTGTCACAGCTGTGCTTCAACATCGGAGGACCAGCCACAAGACGGTCATCAGCAGGACTTCCGACTGTGTGTGTGTGTGTTTGCGTTCATGTCATGTTGACTGTCAAGTTCCACAAACACCTGACGTTCACAGGATCCCTGATGGGAGCTGCAACAATGGGGTCGTGACCGTGACCTCCAGCAAGAGTCGGTCGCCTGTTTTTCTGTCGTGTCGTCGTTTGCGACAGCGCTTGCGGGACCGACAGTCGCAGAAGACGGGGCAGCTTCGGTTTAGATTTGTTTGGAATAAGTTAAGTCAGTCAGTCAAGTCTTAATATACCGACTTAGTCAATGAAACTATGCAACACTTCTCATTGAGTTGCCATTAATGGACACATTCAGAATTCAGCTCTTCAAATGAGAACCTACCATGGCCGGTCCCGTCTTCAGCTCGAATCGACTCGGATCAGAGCAGAAACCGACGGTCGTGCAATGATGGCAAAACAAGTGCAGCTCATGCATCATGGGTGCCACCTCATTTGTTTACAGCAATGATGCATTTTCCCGTGGACAGGCTTTCGGCAACATCTTCATGACCTGCCACATCCCTGGATGCAGTGGGTGTTCCGGTATTTACCTGTCTACTTTTTGCTCCAAGGCGAGAGCTTCACATGGGGCCGGTCAGTGTCCCGCATGAGGCGGATTCGTGAGGTGTAATCATAAATAAATCAGACCGATGGACAGACCACCGACGTGGCAGGCCGGCCCGGCGACGAGTCGGTCGTCCAGCACTAAGTCAACGTTTCATCTGAGGATCACAGAGCCAAGTCAAGATGCATTGTTTGGCACCTTGAGCCAGGCTAGCCGAGGCCATCGGGGGATCTCGTCAAAATGACAAGATCCCCCAATGGCCTCGGCTGAGCGACGGTCTGACACAGTCCAGGAGGACTGCTGGGTTTGATGCTTTGATTCACAAAGGTTCCAGTGCAGTTCACGCTTGTCCTTTTTAGAAATAATAGACAGAGCCCTATAAGTTTACCTATATCCCTTAGTAGGAATTAATTATTCAAGAAGGTCTACTAGCCGGTCTGTTCTGTTTATTCTTTCTGGGGGAAACCATGAACATGGATAATGCTGGTGCAGTTCAGGTGCAGTTGAGGTGCAGTTCAGGTGCAGTTCAGCGTTCGTGCTATTATAGATTGGTGCAGTTCAGGTGCAGTTCAGGTGCAGTTCAGGTGCAGTTCAGGTGTGGTGATGCTGCACAACCATATGTGAGGTATACAAATCATAAAATAGTAAAAGGTATGCTGTATTACACAAAAAAGACACGAATGAACTTACCAGGATCTCTGGTCTGGTCAGAGTAAGACTACTTGGCCGGTCCCTGCCCATAGCATCACACAGTTTTGGCTTAAATACATCGGCTCTAGTGATAGTGACAGTCACTATCTTGCAACATATATATATATATATTTAAGCCAAGGTGCTCCGATTGATCCATAAAGCTTCTCTGCCACATCTTGGCGACACCTGGTCAGGAAGTGTTGCCGGTCGAGCTCCTCGGGTGCTCTGGGAGGCATAGACCTGGATTGAAATTTTCAGTCCAGGTCTATCACCTCCCAGACCACCCAATCTAAATCTTCATGGCTCAGGGTACAGGCCTCAGTGTCGGTCAGCATTCAATAATGCTGGACACTGCTGTAATGATTGACTTAGCAACACCTGGTCAGGAAGTGTTGCCGGTCGAGGAGAGCTATCGACAGGTGTCCTCAACCCTTCGTCGGCACCGCTCAGCCAGTCGACTACGACTGGCTGAGTGGCGCCGACGAAGGGTTGAGGAGCTCCTTGGATGCTCTGGGAGGTCGGGCTCCTGTAGCAGTAACAGGTCCATGCCAATTTGAGATCCCAGTCACCTTAAGTATTGAGGTCCAGGCAGAAGCAGATCTACTTTCTTTGCCGGTGGTGTTCTCAGACACATGCGTGGGCAGTGTACTTTCGAAAGTGTTATGTGTGTGTTCGCTCAAGGTCTATCACCTCCCAGACCACCCAATGTAAATCTTCATGGCTCAGGGTACAGGCCTCAGTGTCGATCAGCATTCAATAATGCTGGACACTGCTGTAATGATTGACTTAGCAACACCTGGTCAGGAAGTGTTGCCGGTCGAGGAGAGCTACCGACAGGTGTCCTCAACCCTTCGTCGGCACCGCTCAGCCAGTCGAACTACGACTGGCTGAGTGGCGCCGACGAAGGGTTGAGGAGCTCCTTGGATGCTCTGGGAGGTCGGGCTCCTGTAGCAGTAACAGGTCCATGCCAATTTGAGATCCCAGTCACCTTAAGTATTGAGGTCCAGACAGAAGCAGATCTACTTTCCTTGCCGGTGGTGTTCTCAGACACATGCGTGGGCAGCGTGCTTTGGATACTGTAACTAGCTATGACTTCATGATTCATATTTGCCAAGGTCGGTCGCCTACCATCACCATCTGGTCAGACACCATAGAACTGGACTCCAGCTCTATGATGTCTGATCAGCGGGTGCCGGTTGGCCTGGTCCTCATTGGTTACCTGCAGTTGTTGGGCACAGTCACAGTCGGTCTATGTCTATGATGCCTGCCATGCCACAAAGCAATTTCAGCTTCACGAGACTTGCCGGCCCCACTCCCCGTCGCTATGGCCAAGACAGGTTATGTCGGACTGTCGGTCGACCAGTGGGAGCACTGGCTCTGGAACCCAGTTCCCGACGTCCAGGCCTATTTCTCCCCATCGGTCGCTGTCTATAAGGCTATCGCTGGTGTCGGTCGCAGGTGCCTTGCTGCTGTGTTTCAGTTCATTTATCATGACCAGCGAGGATGCAGTAGTGTAGGTCGTCCTTAGTTCTGAACTGCCCGGTCGGTCAGGATGCAATACCAGCTTTCCGACACGGATCCCATTCCGGGGCCGATGTACCAACGGTCGAAGCACAAGGAGCAGGCCCATCGTGTTTCGGCTGGGGGCACAATCATGTGTGTTACTGATAACGCCGGTCGGGAAGATGAGGTCAAACTTCTGTTGACCCGGTTCGTGGTCGTGCTGGAAGTGCAGGTCGATGAGTTCCAACTGGCTATGGAACAAGGGTCGGTCAGACCATGCACCAACGACGGCTTCGTCGTGAGGAACCTCGACTTGTCGGTCGAGAAGCACCTCAAAGTCACACGCATGGACGCCCGCCTCGAGGTGGAGGCGTTGCCAAGTGACGTGCCGGTCGACAAGCCTGCTTTCGTGTTCTACAAGATCTCCGATGATGTGACGGAGCTGTCGGTCGTGAAGAAGCTGCTGGCCAACAGCATCAACAAGCCCCGAGGGCAAAAGCGGCCTTCCTCCACAGTCGGTCGGGGTGGCACTGGATATATGTATTTCAGTAACCCGACGAAGGCTGCGCTGATGTGTTGGCTGGCAGGTGGCGGCACGGCGGTCGATGTGCGGCTGAGCTACTATGGAGTGGGCATGCTTCCAGCTGGACTCCTTCACTATGATGAAAGCATGTCGCCGGTCTGTGTGCTTTGGTGGCATTCGATTCAGTGATGTTGCAGTTGCATGATTTCTAATCCTGCAGTTGCAATCTACAGCATAAGCTGTCTGCTCAGGACTACTACTACGCGCCGACGCTTCCCCAGATGGGCGTTGAGTCGGTCGCCGCGGAGTACAAGGTCATGGTTCAGTTCAGCAACAAGGTGCCGGTCGGTGACTTCGTGAAGTTAAAGAACCTCGAGACGCTGAAAGAATACATGTACCAGAACGATAAAGAGTTGGAGGAGCTGAACAGTCGGTCGTCAACTCTGCTCGCGATACAGAAGAAGCTGGTCGCAGAAATGGATGAGATGCTCGCCAAAGAGTCGGTCGTGGATCTGGCGGGCAAGACAACGGTGTCGGTCGAGGATCTGGCGGGCAAGACAAAGCAGCCACTCGTCATGGAGTCGGTCGAGGAAGATGTTGCAGGCAAGACAAAGCAGCCGCTCGTCATGGACCAGGTCGCTGAGTCTAGCTGATGTCCACCACGCCGGTCGAGTCAAAGGCCTTTTTCCTCACTCTAGCAGGCAGGCTGGCCCTGGCAGTTGTCGGTCAAATAATGACAGACCATGATCATGACGATAGTGTTTTCTGAATGCCAGATGCAGCCTGTCCTGCCAGCTGTCGGCCATGCCATGTGTGCATAGAGCCACAGTCGTCTGTCGGTTTCAGCAGCCAGCGAGACATGTGTTTAAAATGTGAAGCACGTGAGAGGGCATGCCAGTCGACTTAGTGTTCGAGATTGAGTGCAGCATACCTGACTTTGTTTGTTACCTGTTGGTTCTGTCATGTAGTCAAGTTGTTGACTTGGTAGCACAATGCATGCCAGCCTGGCGGTCCATGGTGCATTCCAGCGCATGGCACATGCTTTGGAATCCACTCTGGGCTGCATTTGGTTCGGAACCCCCAGGATCGGTTGCTAAGGCTTGTAGCCCCAAGTTACCAGTTCAGACATCGGTCGACAGCCCGAGCCAGAGATGACCTCCAAGGTTGAATACATGCCTTCACTAAGTTGAACCCAAAGGATGCTTTGCTAAGGCTTGTGGTCCTATCTTGGGGGTTAAAGTCGGTCTAGTGCTGCATCGTCCTAGGTCGGTCCCACTCTGACACATATGTTGCAGCACCTTAGCCGGTCGTGCATGCTCTTCCAGTTGAACCAGCAGAATAGGTTGCTAAGCCTTGTGGGCCTATCTTGTGGGTTCAACATCGGCAGGCCGGTCGATGATCTTGGAAGCACATCTCTGAGTGTCGGTCGTGCCGTTGCCTACCTGGAGTTTGGGCTTACAAGCCTTAGCAACCGATCCTCGGGGTTCCGAACCAAGTCGGCCGGTCGAGCCATGTCCAAGAAAGCAGGCACTCCTGCTTACGCGCCGGTCTACGTGGAGAGCAAGCTCTTAAAGCTTGACGACGTGTCGGTCGCCCATGATTCCGGCCATCGGGACGTCGATGAGGATCGTGTCCTGGAGTTGTATGAGAAGGTGATTTTGGCCGGTCGTTGGGGCCAGGCTTCGTTGTCCCGACCGAAGCTGAGGCCAGTCGAAAAGTTTATTTTCTCGTGCTTGGTAGTTCACTCTTGGGTTTCGCAGGTATGATCCTGCTGGTCGTCCTATGGCCGCATCTGATGGCCGGTCGAAGCTGGCAGATGGCAAGCACTGTATCGCAGCGTTGAAGATACTTGACGACGTGTAGTTTGTCGGTCCAATTCCACGTTCTGGTGTGCACTGGTTTGTCAGCTGGTCAGAAAAGAGTCGGTCGAAGTCCACGGTTTTCATTTCCCTTAATTTTAAATTACTTTCTGACCGAGGAAAGCTGCTGAGACGGTCGCTCAGTCCGATGATGCAACGCAGCTCGAGTGGTACACAGGTGAGATCAAGGACATTCTGACGGTCGGAATGCGTTTTGATTGCATCAAATTCTCGGATGATGATGAGGCCAGGGATGTGCAGTATGACTAGACACTCATGACGGTCACTAGTTACTCCTGTGTCAGGCGGCGGTCAAGCTCTTCTACACCATGGCCCATGAGCAGGAGGCCAACAAGTTGCGGACGACGTCGGTCGAGCACAAGATCAAACTTGTGCGTGCTTATGTCGCCAAAGTTCCTGGCGGTCTGATAAAGGACAGTCGGTCGACCACCTGTTTTGTTGCTGGCCCTGAGTCTCATCTGTCAGGACGCCGAGAACGCCATGGTGGAAATTTTGGGCAAGTCACGCCGGTCAACAATCCACAACTGGTGCAAAGCGACTGCAGTGTTAAAAGAGCCGGTCCTGATCAAGCTGAAGGAGAAGCCCGACCTGCCATAGGGACTTGTTTTCACGAACAAGTACTTCGTCGGTCAAGGAGAAGAGACACGTAACTCGGCGGCATGCCATGCTGTTAGGTTTTCCTGCATTGTTGGTCGCGGAATGCAGTTGGCTCAGGCTTCCTCCTGGAACCCGAGCAGCAGATTGCTGCTCTGCAGCTTTTCTATGACTTCTGTGACGGTCGCGGGACGGTCTCTTCCATACCGACCTTCATGTCTGACTTTTGTGCCCCAATGTTGAAGGCACAGTTGTGGTGTCAGTTGGTCATGAAGAAGTACTCGTCGGTCGTGAGCCGCCTACCAGCGTATGACCGCTGTCAGAAGATGCTGTGGAGTGAGCGTGGACGGTCGCGCATTTTGAGGCTTGCTAGCACTATGAACTATAACTGACATTCAGTGCCATGTCTCATTATTTTGGTGATGGGGTTGCCAAGGACGTGCATGCGTCTTGGCGTCGGTCTGTCTGGTGACCCGAAGATCGAGGGCAGTGGCATCCCTGAGTGTGTGTCGGTCCTCCAAGGGTTGAAGAATCTGGCCGCTGGTCGTGCAGTGGATGAAGCCGAAAGTGCTGTGGATGCGGCCAAAGCAACGGTCACAGAGCACAAGCTGGTCGTTGAGGGGGGAGACGACGAGTCTGGGATCTTGGCTGACGACATCACGATGGAGGCCCCACTGGTGGAGAAGGATCCTGTTCTTGAAAAAGCTGAGGAGCTAGGCTTGTCGGTCCGCTCCAACATTCATCTGTTTCATGACATGAAGACCTTTGGTGATGGCTTCGTCGGTCTATGCCGGGCGACGACCCGTGGCGGCATTTACATCGATGAGGCCACGTCGAAGGCCAAGATCATTTTGGGGGACATGGCAGAGTTGTGGAAGGTCGTCACGTCGGTCGTAGATCGGCAATACGTGTCCATGGGCATCTTCTGTGGAAAGCGCCACGACTTAGTGACGTTGGTCGTGAACCTTGGATGGCACAGAGTTCTTTCTAGACTTGTCGGTCGACTGCTGTGCTCAGCGTTGCTTCGGCTCAAGTCCAAAACGGCCGGTCGACCTTCATGGGTCGAATCAGTAACAAAAGCCTCGGGCTGAAGAGGGTGGCAGGGCCCTATGCCCGTTACTGTGCGACGGTCGCCAGGACAGGGACGGTCGACCCTCCATTGAAGCGCCTTCGAGTCAAAACCTTCTTGAAAAACTTAGATCAGAGCCGGTCGCGATGGAAGCAGATGTCAAAAAAGGAGAAACAACCCTTTGTGGACGCGGCGGTCAAGGATCACAGAAAGCACAACGCCCTCAAGAGGGAGCTCGCTCATCCTCCAGTGGAAGTCGACTCGCCGGTCAGAGACCCGAAGCCTGAGGATGATAGTGACCAGCAGCCACCGGTCGATGAGAACCTCGTCAATGAATTGAGGTTCTCCTTTGAAGGCATGGCACTTTCCAGTCGGTCGACCCTGGGACAAGGCGCCCATGGCACAGTTTACCGCTGTGAAAACTTGATGGGAACGGAGTTCGCAGTGAAGCATCTTGGCTATTCATTTTATTATTAAGGTTCATGCGATTGAACAATCATGAATGAATGAACGAATGATGTCTTTGTCGACTTTGGGTTTAGTGCTGCATCTTGTCATGTCGAGGTTGCCGGTCGGCAGCAGGGACGTGAAGAGGGAGCTAGACGTTCTCCTCAGTCTACGCCACCCAGCCATCCTGCATTGTTATGGGCCAGTCATGTCGGTCGACGGAGGTCTCGTGGGCCTTCTTTTGGAGTATGTGCCGGTGACATTGGACGCTTGGCTGAAGACGCAGCCCAAGGCCGCAAAGTGCCCACACAAATGGCATCTGATGGTCGATCTTGCACATGGACTCCAGTATCTGCACTGTCACAAGCTTGTGCACTGTGATGTGAAGCCACAGAACATACTTGTCGGTCCTGCCCCCCATGTTCGAGCCCGCTGGGCGACTTCGGCCTCACTGAGCCGGTCGGGACAGCTGTCTATGGTGACGAGGTGTACTCTGCAGCGTACAGACCTCCGGAGCTTAGCGGGTCACAGGAACCCGGTCGTAGCTTTGCTGTAAGGGTGAGGTTGGCACCCACAGCTGATCTTTGGGCGGTCGGGTGTCTCTTGTTTGCGATCTTCACAACATCGACACTGTGTCATTTGTTTGTCACAGTGAAGGTGCTGTATGACATGTCCTTCATCAATTCCCGAATTGATAAGAACGTGCCGGTCGTCTCTGGCGCTCAAGAAGACATAAGAGCTTTCTTGAAAAAGCTGCCGAACGAGCGACAGCAGCTGAGGCTTTTCATTATTGCTGCAGAGGAGAAGTACAGACACCACGCTGGTCGTTGAACCGCCAGTCGTCGGGTGTCAAATTTCTGTGTGAAGGGGCATGCAGGAAGCCAAAAAAAGATTTGAAGCATCTGCAGTGGCAATCGTGGTCAGTGCAAGTTTTGGGGTGCGACAATCCAATTGGTCGGTCGATGCAACACTACAGCTAAGGAACCAGCTGCAGACGATGATCCCAAACCGTGAGGCGTACGTCATCACCTTCACTGCCGGTCCAGAACAGTCCCGGAATCGTCGCCCGACTTACATGGTCTATTCACAGTCGGAGTTGTCGGTCTCTGCGAAGGAGGTGGTGCCGAGCCATGTGACTGTCAACAAATGCCGGTCATTTGCCTATGAGAAGTTACAGATGCGCTGCACCGACTACAATTGTGCCTTTGAATCAAATTAAAAGAATCCTTGAAACTAGACTAATGGCCCCACTGCCCACACTAACCCACACTCCTACTGAGGCAAGCTCAGGCCGTGCAAACCCATGACAGACATGCCGGCCCATCCCACAGAGGACCTTTGTGGGGGGCAGGGCGGCAGGTGCAGGTCAGGTGCAGCTCAGGTGCAGTTCAGGTGCAGTTCAGGTGATGAGGTTTTCTATATTGGTGCCATTCAGGTGCAGTTCAGGTGCAGTCCAGGTGCAGTTCAGGGTTTGATGTGGACGTCATCAATCACTTTACTGAATCTGGGAGGAGTTGCCGGTCAGTGACCAAGAGCAGCCAGAGGATAGCAAGACGTTGGACACCACAGAGGAAGCCGGTCCTGACACACAGGCGGTCGAAGCGTCCGTCGACAAGAAGTATCCTGTGGATTTGTGGTTGGTGGCCAAATGCTGGGATCACCATGCGTCGGTCGTGCGAGAAGTCTTCCGTGGTGATCAGTGCAGGTGGATGGCGGTCTCCACACGCACAGCCCATCCTTCCATCTTCGTTGGGGTCCAGTCGGTCGTCTCCACAGTCATAGGTATGGTTCGTGGTCCGGTCGAGCATCTTGCCGACAAAGCATGAAACGCGTGTCAACCAAAAGCTTTTCGCAGGAATGCATGTTAAGCTCAGGCACTCCATGGCACATGGCCGAGTCTTGCTCGACGACATGTGCACCGCCCTGAAACTGGATGAAGCTAGCCGGTCATTGAACTTGAAGCGCAAGGTGACAGACATCCCGTGTGTGCCGGTCTTTAACCCCTATGCAGCAGAGGGCTCAGTGTTCAAGCTGTTGGAGATTCCGGTCGAGAGCACCTGGCGAAATGGTGTTTTGGCTTGAGTTCTGACCTTCATGTCATGCATTGATCGATTATGATAGGACGTGTGCAATTCCGAACTGAGGTATCAACAAGTCGGTTGCCAACTACAATGACATGGAGAAGAAATGCAACGATCTCACACATGAGGAGCTGGTCAAGTATGACCTGGGATTGTCGGTCATCGACGGTCATGTTGCACTCATCACGACTGTCCCTAAAAAGGAGGGGGACTTGATATGCACATGCAGTGCTTTGCATTTCGACAACATGGCAAGCCTCTTGTCGGTCGTGAACTCCGACAAAGTGAACCTCGCCAAGAATCCTGTGCTCAGGACGGACTGCGTCGGTTTGACAGAGGATCGCTCCTCGTCGGTCTGGTCACTGTTAATTGGGGCTGCGTCACCCCGCTCAGTAAAGCCGCAAAGCGAGCAAACGCGGCCTTCAACTTTGACATCAGCCAGGGCGCCTCTGACGGTCTCATCGCATTGGTCGTCAAGACACGGAATGGGTGTGGCATTGCTGCAAAGTCGGTCGTGTCGGTCGACCTGGGTCCAGACTATGATCCGCCACCTGGCTGCGATAGTTAGGTTGCTGTCGAGTCCATTGCTTGCTGATGCAGCACGTTTATTATTACTCTGACAGGTCACAAGCCACGCCGGTCGAGCTCGCTGCCAGCAAGAAGCAGTTCATGGATAAGTGGTTTCAGGAGCCTGTGAATGAGGCGCCGGTCAAGGAAGAGACAACAGTGGAGCCAGCTGGCAAAAAACCCCGAACCTCAGAGGCCAAGGCCAAGCCTTCGCCGGTCGCACCGGCTCCGGTCACTCCGGCTCCCGCTACTGGTCCAGTGCCGGTCGACAAGCCAGCCCCGTCTGCTGCAGCTGAGACTTCGCCGCCGGTCGTCAAAGCTGATGTAACAGCCCCGGAGCCGGAGCTGAACCCTGCGTCGGTCGCCAATTTCATCGTGGGTGATGCCACGTTTCGCTTGGACTTGCAGAACTTGAGGATCCTTTTGCCGGTCGGAACCTCCACCAACAAGAGGCTGCCTCCAGGCACAATTGTGTACACTCTGGATTGCAGCGCCGGTCGTTTCCGCAAAAACTCCAGTGCTGTCGGTCTGGAGTACAAGCTGACCTCTTCGAAGGACAAGGTCATTGTCAATGGGAAGCAAGTGACGGTCGCAGACGCGGTCGCCAGCCTCAAGTCGAACTCCGTTTGGGAGCACATCCCGCCTTCCTTCACCCAAGGTTCCCTCCCATCGGCCGGTCTGAAACCTAACCAGCAGATGGTTTGGGTTCCAGGAGATGACGCGTCGGTCGTGATGGCCCAGCTCAACAAGGCCACGGATGCTTCTTGGAGGTGGGTGATGAAAAATGGCAGCAAAGGGAGTCTCACGCCGGTCAAAGCTTGCCTAGTGATCGACAAACAGCTGATCATTCCCGGCAAGCCGGGACATCTCGGCTTGCTTGTCGGTCGCGAAGTCGGTCACTGAAGTCGGTCGCTGACAACTATAACTATCCGCATGTTAAGTCTGCCATCGGGGATAACCCGTCGACAGAATTGTTTTCCCACTTCACGCGGATTTTTTGCTGATTCGTCGTCCGACGGTCGACTCTGCCATCGGGGATAACCCGTCGACACAATTGTGTGCACACTTTGTGGAGTTTTGCTGATTCGTCCGACGGTCGACTCTGCCATCGGGGATAACCCGTCGACAGAATTGTTTTGACACTTTGTGGAGTTTTGCTGATTCGTCCGACGGTCTGGGGCTCTGTGGCAGCATCAGAAAAATGGTTCATGGTGGAAGATGTGCCGATTCTGATTCTGATGATGACACCACAAATGTCATTTCACCCTGCTCAGGTTCTCTGTCCGATGACAGTGGAGAGCAGTTCCATCCCCGCTATTTGCCCAGACCCCAGCTTTTCATTCAACTGGCAACACTTGCAGAGAGGACAATTCAAGAGCCAGTATCAGACTGGAGGTGCACAAAATGTTCTTGACTTCGCGCATCATGCCAGCCGGTCGCCAAGGCCTTGCCAGGGTCCCAGCATCCATCACATTGAGACTAAGAGCCGTATTGTGAGATGTGAAAGGTGAAGCTGAGAAAAGTGTTCTTGGACTTTGCACAGTTTCTCAGTCAGTCACTCAGCCAGGGCTTCCCAGTGTTTGTCAGACAGGCAACCGAAAGTGCTTGATGCAACTGTGCCTGGACGTCATCTCATTCTCCAGAACTGACAGACATGAGGAATCAGTAAAGCAGTTTGGCCAGCACACCTCACCCAAAACGCAACCCATGAACCTTTGCTGGGGTAGAGTTGATCGCCATCCATAAGAGCCATGTCTGACGGAGCCATGTCTGACGAGGAGTTTGTGCCTTCTTTAAGGTCAGAAACCTCCGAGTCGGTCGCTTGCACACAAAACTTTGATTCCTCGTCAGCCGATGCTGCATCCGAACCCAGTGTTTCTGACAGCGAAGCCGAAATGCCGGTCGAAGATGAAGTCGACGGGCGCCTTTGGCGACCAGGGGAGAACTGTGGTACGTTCGTGGACAGACATGCTGCCTTGCAAGGCCAAGGCCAAGTTTTGTCGGTCAATGTCATGACCAACCTTCAGCGCTGCCCGAAAGACGTCTTGTCGGCCGTGATGAAATACATGCCGGTAAGGCTGGGTCTTCCAAATCCAATATTTTATAGATTTATCAATTATCATCTGCAAAATTATTTCAGTTAACTAATTTAAGTAATTGATTCAATACAATAACTGCTGCATGAAAGGAAGTTTGCTGGCAAATCACTGGTCGAAAGGGTAGCAGCAGCTCTATTGGGTTTGGGAACCACCAGCGTAGAACGATCCATGCAGAGCCGGTCGAAGCTTGAAGAGTTTGAACGCGAGAAGCTCAAAGAGAAAGAGAAGGAGGGTATACAAAGGAAACAGAAGGCCGTGTCGGTCGACAAGGAGCTGTCACTGGACACAGTAGTCGACATTTGCCTTTCCAACGCATCCGAAGGCCGGTCCTTCCTCTCTTTTGAAAGAGATGCCGAGAGGAACCGCCGGCGTGGAGTGCAATTGGGCCATTGGCCTTGCAGCCGGTCGTTCTGCCGCGAGGTGGAGTTCTATGCCGCCAGGGCATTGCAGAATTTGGATGCGATGGATTTTCAACGGCTGGTCGTTGGCCTAGGCATTCCCAGCGACTTCTGTGCTTTGCCGCCAGATTAGACAGTCGATGCTGCAACTGTGTGTGTGAATCAGTGATGTGGCTCATCTCACTAAGCAAGGTGTCATGTTGGACTCCATCTCCATTGGCAAAGAACAAATGCTGAAGCGGGACAATGTGTTGCTGGTCGGACTGTCGGTCGTGAGCCAAAGCACAGGCTTCCTCTTCATGTCCAAAGCATCATGGCACTAGCCGGTCACCTTTGTGTCTTCTATCTATTTTTTCACAGAATAAATTAACAACTAATAATTTGCCACAGGTCGTGCTTACACACCGATGGTTGGCGGGAAGACTTTGGGTGTCGGTGATCATGCAGGCCCACAATTGAAGAAGGTCGCGTGGGAGATTCTGGAGGAGCACCCTGCCCATTTTAGCAGCCGGTCACTGGCGGCATCTTTAGCCATGGTTGTCGGCGATGGCGCCAATGCCATGGGTGGTCGGTTGGCTCGGCACAAGAGCACAGCTTCGGCGGAACTGATATGGTCTGAAGTTTTCAATTCTGTTTGGGATGGAGACCCTGTGCCGGTCATGACGGACTGGGGCCTGATGCACCGTGAAGCATAGCTACAAAGCAATAGTTGTGATAATCAAACGATATGTTCAATTGTAATATGTACACACTGTTGGTCGAACTACGAAGGAACAAACCGCACTGGATCGGGCAATCAAGTCTGTCGATGCAGCTACAGAAGTTATGGACATCGTATCTGTTTTGGACAAGACCTTTTTCATGGGCGACGGTCGGGCCTTGCTGCGAGGAGTTTCGAAACAAATTGGTGA